TCACAACCTGGCATGTTCAGAGAGAGCTCAGAAAGAGCTAATTAATAAGCCCAGAGCTTCATCAGTGTATGAAGCCCGGAAGAGGGTCCTGGTCTGAATCTCAGTGAAAGCTCTGCCCTTCTGCACTCACAGCAGCATCARGACCTCCTTCTCAAAGATGCAGAGCTGAACATATGTGTTGGGACTTGTCTGCTTAACAGCACAATACTTCTTCTTTCCCTTTATAAACAATGAGCTCTCAAGCTCCCAGAAGCAAAGAAACCAGGCAAGGAAATATTTAATCAGTGCAAGAATTTATATGCAGTTGATAAAATAGGGGCTGTATGAAAATAGCAAACGTAATTGAAAAAAGAAACCCTTTCYATCACTGCCCACTGTCCTGAAATGCCTGCATGTGAAAGCAGAAGCAYGACTTAATTTAGTGGTAGCCACAAGTGATCTGACTTTCACAAAACCAAATCCCTAATTCTCATTCAGAAAATGCCATTATCTTTGCTATTATAAGTTTTCTCATTTTCTACACAGCTGCCCTTGCAGCACTGCCCCTCCTCTCGCTGTCAAAAGCATCACCAGCACTGGAATGCGGCACCCCTCATTTTCCTGAAGCTAATCAAAGAGACTACARGAGCCCTGTTAGAACATTATAAAGGCTGATGTATGCCACAATTAAAATTGAGGCCCTCTGCATTTCCCAAAGTGTCATTTTTCCTGAGATACGGGAAACAGAGGGGGGAAGAAGCCCCTTGATACAATATGTGCCATGGAGAGAGGAAGAGCACARAAGAAAGACTATGTGACACAAGGGTGACAATGTATCCAGTGATCCAAGGGTTAAAACACACCTCTGGATGAAGGCTGAAATTACAGGAGAGGAAGGGATGGATCTGAAAGCTCAGCTCTCTCTAATCTTCCGTGGTGATGRAGCAGAGAGCAAGATGAATGAAGCACAGATGCATCCAGCTCCAACAGACAATATTTCACTATCAGGTGGAGATCCCTTGCCAAGTTCCATCTCAGCCATGTTTTTAAGCTTTGGGACATTATGTTTTTGTCAAAAAGTTTGTATGAAACAGACACTAGAGCTTAAACAGTCAAAACCAAYAATGTCATGGGTGAATCTTCACATTCATAGCAAATATTTTTTAACAGTCAATTATGTTGTTCTGATAAAAGACAAACACAGCACTTGTGTCTCCTGTGCTGTGATTTTGCCATTTATTCCTCATGAACACTKCTGCAAACACGGGCAGGATATATTCAGTTGTGGGTGGAGCTGGCACTCACCATCCTCATCTGTTCTAGACAGCACATGCTTTCAGGCACCTAACACCTAACGAGGGACAATAACAAAACCTGCTTCCCTGTCCCCAACAACAGAGCCAGAGACACAMACAGGCCATGTCCATACCTTCAGCTAGCCAGGTCAGACCAGCTCATTGCCTGCACAATTCACCCTGAGCTATGACAGCTCCAAGCTTGAAAGTGCACACAGGAGGGCCATCCAGCTCTGTCTGARCTGCCTTTCATCTCAGCCTGCAGACTCAGCTCAAGAGCCCCTGACCTTCCCTGTTGCCACAGCATTCCTAGGATGGCTCTGACTCATTACAGTTCAGAGATGTGACAGCCAGTGTGGTGACCTGGCCTGCTTCTGMCTGCAGATCAYRGATCACTGATGAGTTCTCCTTAAAACTATTCTCCAATCACACAATGGTCTGTGAGCTGGAAAGGACSCACAAGGATCATCATTTTAGTGAATGAAGATCAAACCCACAACCTTGGCCTCRATCCTTTCCAGCAGCTTGCAGAGCTGCTTTGCAGCATTCCAAACCAGGCTGTGCCAGGTGCAGCTTGGAACATAGTCCACTCTGCGTGCTCTCTGGTATTTTGCATTTCTCCCAGACTATTAAGGGGAGAAGCAAAAGCTCAGAGGCATTATTTATTCCATTTAGAAACAACCCGTTATCGCTGTGTTACACTTCTAACATGMGAATACCATGACACAGCACCAGCAGGCAGACAACCCTGAAAAGGAAATGGCATGCTCTTTTGAAATCAAAATATGTGCCCTCCCTGCTGTGGATGAATATATTCCTGGTTACAGCACAAGGAAGAAGTTTTCGCTTTTCCTCCCCCACCTTTCATCCAAATTTCTTCCCTAGGGTTGCAGGGTATGAGATGAGCAACGTGACCTTGCAATGACAGAATTTTAATGAGTGACTGGTGCACCAAAAGCTATGCAGCAGCGTCTCCCTGCTCAGTGTTGCTATGTGCTCTAGACATTTATGTAACACTGCTTCTCATCCTCAAGGCTGTCCTTTCCTAGGGTCAGCAGCAACAAACACAAAATTTATTTATCAAACTGTCAAAGCTACTTACAGCTGACACAGAGTACACTCCAGTATTTTGGTGAAAAGAAGTTAACAGGTAAAGCTATTTCCCAATTCCACAGCTACAGAATAAAAGCAKGTGGTTTTTTTAGAAATAGGTTAACTCGAAAGAGTAAAGGGTTTATTTTAAAGAAACTGCTTATTTGCAGTTGTTTGCAAAAATATACAAATTTTCTTCTGGGCTTTAGCACTGAGTTGTGCATGGAAATGCAATGTCTTTGCATACATTAGCTCTCAACCCCCAGGGAGACTGTAGCCACATCAGGAAAATGGGGTTTGCTTTTAATTTCTAAAATAGAGAACCTAAAAAGAATGTCTCCTCCTTTCCCTTGGCTCCCAGGTTCAAAATATTTTACCCTGCTTATTGCTGGCATTCATCACCCTCTCCTGCCCTCCTTGGTTTGCTCCTCAGTTGAGCTTCAGGATCAGGTGAGAGCCTTCCCTCTCACCCCAGGATTCTGTTAAGAGGCAATCTACAACTGGGATAAGTGACTTTTTCCAGCTTTCTCTCTGTGCCCATGCAATCATGGGACAGATCTACTGCTCTTAGTACAGATCTGGTACTTGTCTCTTACAAACAGAGGCTGTAGCACCTCAGGCATGGCAAACCTTGGGGATCCATTGCAAGTTTAGAGACATTCATAACATCAGAGGAAGCGCACAGCATTCCTTAGTGCCAAAGGGAACCCATCCCTCTTAGAACATGAGTGATATAATTAGCAAGATACTAAATCTCCATATATCCTCATCCAGCCCTTTAAGGAGAAGCATTTATTGCTCAAAACTTTTGCATCAGAGCATTCCTTATACATTATTCCTTATACATGTCAGTCCAGCAGAGAACTCAGGATTTTTAACCTTGAAAGATGCTAGTTTATCTAGTGTGCCTACAAAGGAAACTTCGGGGTTCCTAGGATTTACTATGCTTGGTACAGGCACTAAAACTTCAGGCTCTTTATGGGAATGAAGAGTCTCATTCCAGCTCCATACATTTTGCCAGTGCATCACCACAGTAGCCTTAATGACATACACCAGCAGCAGAAACAATGCAAATCCCAAATCACTGTTCACAGTTGAGTCAACAGCTATATTATATATATATATATATATATATCCCTGAAAAATGTACATTCATAGCAGAAAACCTCAGTTCAGCACAGGCACCAGTGACATTTTGATTAAACCTTGTTGTTAAATCCTCTTTGCTAAAACAATAAAAACTGGTTTAAATTGTGAGGGATGGAAAATCGGATGCATAATCCAGAGAAGAACAGATCCAGCTTGCCTTATATCTAACTGGTGAGTTTATGAAATGATTGTCAGGCTGAAGTGAAAATTAATCTCCCCTAGAAGTCCTTTTATTTTTCATAAAAAGTAAACACTGCATTCTCTGACTTATGGTCCTTGACCTGCTAAAGGCAATGACTCCTTTAGCCTCCTGCCTGCTTCCCCTAAGCCATGCCTTGCAGTTTGAGACTATAACCTGCTGCACTAAATGTTGAGTAGRGTTTTTTCTCTAAGGCTGCTGTTCTCCAAGTCCTACCAAACCATCACTTCTCTGCTCTATTAGGCTGTTACAGCTGAATTACAGTTCCCAGCACAGCTGGTCTGCTACTAGCATAACCTGCACTCTCCCAGCCAGCTCCAAACCTCTTTCCCACCAAATCTGTTTCCCACCTATGTGCTAGAAGCAGTAGCAGCAGATAGTCAGCTCCTGCACGTGCACTGGCTGTAAAGAGTGCTCCCTGGCTGCTCCATGCTTAGGTCAGACAGTGCATGGGTGCCAGTATCTGCAGAACTTCTCTCACTGCAAGACACATCTGCTGATGAGATGGGTGGAGATCTGCAATCAAAGAAAACAACAGGGATTCARATCTCAGTGATGTGCCTGAGATCGGGATGCAGTGGAAACTGAAATCACAGGAATCACAGTTACAGAACAGCTCAAGCTGGGAGTTTCAAGATCATCTAGTTCCAACTCACCAGCCATGAGCAGGGATATCTTCCACACCTCAAAGCCTTTTGAACACTTTTAGGAGTGGGGCTGCCACAACTTCTCTGGACAATCTGTTCCAGGGCCTCACCACTYTYCCAGTAGAGAATTCCTTYCTAATATCAAATCTAAACCTGCCCTCTTCCAGCCTAAAGACATTACCCTTGTTCAATCATGACATAGCCTGCTAATAAGAATGTGTGCAGTGCTTTCATACACATCTTCACAACAGGCTTGTGTAGGCAGGAGTCTTCAGAGAAAGAGTTTATCTGTTTTCCCTTTACAGCAACTCTTGTGGAAATCAATCAGCATTTTTCAGAAAAACTGATTTAGTTTAAACTTCCTAGCCCAAGCAGCACAGCTAACAGCTAGGTGTCCTCTCCCAGACCCAGTTCAAGATTGTTTGTTGTGATCTCTCACACTGCTTTCATTCCTGTCTTCTAGAAGAGCAGAAAAAAGATCAAGGAAGAACTCCCATGCTGGTAGTAGTACCACACACTGAAACAGGGAAGTATTGCTCCAAACACAGGGTTGGAAAAATCACTGTGSAGGGACAGGCTGTCCTGCAGACTTCAGTGGTGAAGGTCACATCCCACCAGGCCTTCCCACACAAAATCAAGGCTCATTTCTGTTGTTCTTGTTGTGGCAGTGGACATTTACTCACACAAGTGATCTCAGTGATATGGGAATAGGTCTCGGTACATCTGATTAATCCTGTTAGCTGTGTAAAGCCCTGACCCCCACACTGCTGCACCAGGGCTGGATTCTTGTTGCAAGGAAAGGGCTTGGTTTCCATCATGATATGGAAACATTCCTGAAACATTCTTGAAAAAAAAAAAAGAGTCCTGAAACAATTCTGATGAATGAAACACAAAGATAATAAAATACTAAGCAAACACTGAGGGGTCCACAGCTTTGTGACAGACTGAGTGAAAACTGGGAGAAAACATGGTGGGATCTTTCCCCTGCCAGCAGGACACTCATGACAGACTCACAGGACACAGTTTAAAGTGCAAAGTCATGCTCAATTACGTAAATCCAGTCGATCTGCAAATGTGGAATCAAGTGCTGTCAGCCTTTACTTACTTGTCTGGCACTGAGTTATATTTTTACATACACTTGGCTTACAGATAAAAAAGCAATGGAGTTTAAAAGAGGGCTTGACTCTTCTGCAAGCTGGAGACACACTCAGAAAGAGCAATGACAACACAGCCTGCAGAAAGACTGTGTTTATCATAATATCTGCCACTCCTGGAGCCAAGTCACAGTCACTCAACAGCCCTTAAACCTTTTACCTCTCTTACAGAAGCACAGCTCATGGTAATGGAAAAAAGCAACTGAAGCTTTTAGACTTTCCCCAAACTCTTCCTCRCCTGGTCTAGAGATTACTCAAATCAGGAACAGAAAGGTTACCCAAAAGAAAACACAAGTACAGATCTTTTCACTGCTTGTGCACGAAAGTGATCCCAAAACATTAATTAAGACTCACGACACTCCAGAAAGGCAGACAGTCCAGAGCTYGTTTTACAAGTGGGTCAGCTGAGCCTGATGCAGCACAAAGAGAGAAAGAGGACAGCCTGGATCTGTTTATATCCTGCTGTGACAGCACTGCTGGATGTAACAACATGCATTTAACATGACTACACACAGCATCAGCTCCTGCTACAGTGCAGAGCAAGAGCACAGTGCTAGTATTAGTCTTGTAATTATAAAGTGTTACCTATACAGAAGCTGAGCCACAAAATATAATCTGCCTCAGCACAGAGCTAACTGCAAAACTAGCTGCTCATTATATGGTAATGGAGCCAGTATCTGTCAGAGGAGACATGAAACCACAAACAGCATTGTGATTAGATGACTCYAAACTGTATTTAAAAAGTATGAGATACTAGATCTTGAAACTAGAGGAAAAGATCACTTTCTAGTTGTGGTTAACAGATGCAGGCATGATTTCAGTCTTGCTTTAAACTAACAGCCAAAAACCAAAAAAGAGTATGCAGGACCTACAGTATCCAATATCTATGCATTTGGCCTACAGTTTTATGTTTATTGTAAAATCTATGCAGGCAGTATTAGAAATAAATCTTACTGATTAAAAAGAATCTAATCCTTTGCTGCACACCTCCAGTTTTACAGTGATGGATGAATGAGATCCAGTAGGAAAATAATGATCCTTCCTTCCTCAAAGAGAAAAAATTAAAATCAGTAGCTGCAATGTAGGCTCCCATCTCACACTGCATTTCTATTTTGGCTTCTCTCATCTGGGCTACTTCAAGAATTCTTGTCAGTAGGAATTCATCTATCTCTGGTTCTTTCCTTCCTCCATGAATTTCAGATAGGGCAGACCCAGAGGCAAAAACTCCAGTGCCAAGTCCAGACACTGAGGAACCTGTTCCCATGTGGCTGATGCACCTCCACCSCACTGCTCACTGAGTGCAACTCCTGAGCAGAAGCTGCCAAGGCAAAGACCAAACTCATCCTCACTGGTTACACATTCAGCAYGCCTATACAACACCTACCAGAAAAATGCCTCCCTCTGATACTTGCAGACTTCTGTACAGAATTTCCTGGGTGGAAATTTAATGCCTTTTCCACTGAATTAAAAAAGTTCTTCACTGAACAAATGTAATTGAAACCAAGTGCACTGCCCTAAATACAGGTGAACCACAGGCACAAGAGTTCTCAAGCCAGCCCATGTCTGTGTGTGCTGCAAATACTGCACTGCACTGCTCCTGAGCTTCTGCTGGAGRTTAAGGGGAAGGTTTTCAGCAGGTTAAAGTGATGCTGCTCTATTAAGAGGCACTAGACTGGTGCCTATTATGCCAGCTGTCTGATTCCTGCTTAAATGCCCTCTTCTCAGCAAGTAAGAAAAAGAAGAAATAAAGGAAGTTGGATTGGCTATTTGAATGGAGGAAAAAAAAATTCCCCTCAGAACCAAAAAGTTATGAAGTACCACTTTTAACCTTTAGCTCTTCCATGGCAATTATGGGCAGAAAAAAAGCTGTGGGGAGGAAAAGAGAAGGAGAGCTTTTATTTTATGCTTCAGATCTTCCCCTCTGGAATGCACTGAAACTATCCTGCAGCTTCTGCAAGGTTTCTATCTGCACACATCATCCAGGGAGCCACAGAGCTGAGGCGTTTGTTCTCACTCTGCTGTAAATATGGTCTCATCCTAMTTTCAGTGACATCAGGACAAACAAGGGTCCAGGGAAGATACTCAAACCATCACCAAAGTMATCCAAACATAAAACTGGATTTCAACCTGCTGTATTGCAAAATAATAGTCAGAGCATCTGAAAGCTTGAAGTATTTGACATTCAGGGCATGTGAGTGCAGGGTGAGTGCGACTTCCACGTTGAGTGTGTGGTATCATAAAACTTCAGATCCTGTTTGCTCCTGTTCATCGCTTTTCTTGCTCCATCTTTATGGCTGCATAAATCATASTTATTTTGCAGACTCACAGAATGCTGAATTGATGCAAGATACAGAGTTCTCCATGTACAGATGCTTGCTCACCAAAAGGCTGTAACTAACATCACTGCAGAGGYTGCCCACTGGTGCTACACAATTGTGCTCACTTTTCCTTAGGTTAACTTCATTACAGAAGTAAACTAGCAAGAATAACACTCTATATTTTAAATACAGAATGCCAGATCTGCGATGTRTAATAAAATCTTTAATATGGAGTATTTTCACCCCAAAGCCATAARATTTGTATACCAACAAAAGCAAAAGTACACTATGTTTTGTCATTTGGATTAACCTGGGGTTTTGTTTACTGATCCAGCTTCAGAGGACTGAAGTGGAAGAAGTTCAAATGTTCCACAGATTCTTCTTCCATCAGCTTTTAAAGCAACTGTGTCTCTCCCCAGCTTCAGCACTTTTTAGTTAACAGAAACAAATCCAAAGAATTACTCCCGCCACAAATATTGTGTGAGCGCATTTTGAGTAAAAGCACTGGTTATTTGTTGGWATACTGCTGCATCCATCAGTCTTAAATAATCATAAATAAAAASTTTTGTGCTATTCTTTGGTACATTTCTGTCTGTTTAAACCACAGCTGAACTTTTACATTGTACAAACAAAAAATTGCACTTTTATCTTCTAGAGAGTCTTGATAGTCCAACAGACTTTCAGCTGAAGGATTCTTTATTGTACTCAAACCTTGTCCCATAAGAGTTGCTGCTGTTGCTCAGTTTATGAAGTGTCTTAGAGATTTTGTTTGGTCCACAACAGAAAACTCCAATGGTCTTCCT